AGTGGGGAATCAAACCTGGTTCTCCCAGATTAGAGAACATAAGAACATAAGAACATAAGAGATGCCAATGTTGGATCAGGCCAAAGGCCCATCCAGTCCAACACTCTGTATCCCACAGTGGCCAGAAATACCAGTGCCATCAGGAGGTCCACCAGTGGGGCCAGGACATTAGAAGCCCTCCCACTGTTGACCCCCCCCCAAGCACCAAGATGACAGAGCATCACTTGCCCCAGAGTCCCTATCTATACCTTGTGGCTAATAGCCACTGATGGACCTCTGCTCCATATGCTTATCTAATTCCCTTTTGAAGCCGTCCATGCTTGTAGCTGCCACCACTTCCTGTGGCAGTGAATTCCAAGTGTTAATCACTCTTTGGGTGAAGAAGTACTTCCTTTTATCCGTTCTAACCCGACCGCTCAGCAATTTCATGGAGTGCCCACGGGTTCTTGTATTGTGAGAAAGGGAGAAAAGTACCTCTTTCTCTACCTGCTCTTTCCCATGCATAATCTTATAAACCTCAATCATGTCACCCCTCAGTCGTCGTTTCTCCAAGCTAAAGAGCCCTAAGCGCCTTAACCGTTCCTCATAGGGAAAGTGTTCCAACCCTTTTATCATTCGAGTTGCTCTTTTCTGCACTTTTTCCAAAGCTATAATATCCTTTTTAAGGTGTGGTGACCAGAATTGCACACAGTATTCCAGATGAGGTCGCACCATTGATTTATATAGCGGCATTATGATATTGGCTGATCTGTTTACAATACCCTTCCTAATAATCCCCAGCATAGCATTGGCCTTCTTTATTGCAGTCACACACTGTCTCGACATTTTCAGTGAGTTATCTACTACAACTCCAAGATCTCTCTCTTGATCTGTCTCTGCCAGTTCAGACCCCATCAACGTGTATTTATAGTTAGGATTTTTGGCTCCAATGTGCATCACCTTGCACTTGGCCACATTGAACCCCATTTGCCATGTTGACGCCCACTCGCCCAACTTTGACAGATCCCTTTGGAGTGCCTCACAATCCTCACTGGTTTTCACCACCCTGAACAACTTCGTATCATCCGCAAATTTAGCCACTTCACTGCTTACTCCCAACTCCAAATCATTAATGAACAAGTTAAAAAGCAGTGGACCAAGTACTGATCCCTGTGGTACCCCACTGCTTACACCCCTCCACTGGGAGAACTGCCCATTTATACTCACTCTCTGTTTTCTATTAATTAGCCAGTTTTTGATCCATAAAAGGACTTGTCCTTTTATCCCATGATTTTTGAGCTTGCTTAGGAGCCTTTGATGAGGAACTTTATCAAAAGCTTTCTGGAAGTCAAGGTAAACAATATCTATTGGATCCCCCTTGTCCACATGTTTGTTCACCCCCTCAAAGAACATTAACAGGTTAGTGAGACAAGATCTTCCCTTACAGAACCCATGTTGAGTCTGCCTCAATAGGTTTTGTTCATCTATGTGCCTACTAATTCTTTCCTTAATAATGGTTTCCACCAATTTACCCGGTATCGACGTCAGACTGACAGGCCTGTAATTTCCCGGATCTCCTCTGGAACCCTTTTTAAAGATGGGAGTGACATTAGCTACCTTCCAGTCCTCAGGAATGGAGGCTGATTTTAAGGAGAGATTACATATTTTTGTCAGGAGATCCACAAGTTCACAATTGAGTTCTTTCAGAACTCTTGGATGTATGCCATCTGGGCCTGGTGATTTATCAGTTTTTAAGTTGTTTATCAGTTTTAGGACCTCCTCTCTCGTCACCTCAATCTGACTCAGGTCTTTCAACACCCCTCCCGAACTCAGCGGCTCTGGAGTGGGCAAGCACCTCTCATCTTCCACAGTGAAGACGGAGGCAAAAAATGCATTTAGCTTCTCAGCCATTTCCCTATCATCCTTCAGTACTCCTTTTACCCCTTGGTCATCCAAGGGCCCCACTGCCTCCCTGGCTGGTTTCCTGTTTCTAATGTATTTGAAGAAAGTTTTATTGTTGGTCTTTACATTTTTTGCTATATGCTCCTCATATTCCCTTTTTGCATGCCTGACCACAGACTTGCATTTTATTTGCCATAGCCTGTGTTCTGTTTTATCAGCCTCACTGTGACTAGCTTTCCACCGCTTAAAGGAATCCTTTTTACCTTTTACAGCTTCCATTACTTTGTTTGTTAACCATGTAGGCTTTTTCTTATACCTGTTTGTGCCTTTCCTAACCTGCGGAATATATTTTATTTGAGCTTCTAGAATTGTAGTTTTAAACAGTTTCCAAGCTTCCCCAATGGTTTTGACCCTTTCTACTTTTCCCTTCAGTTTCCTCCCCACATGTCCCCTCATATCAGAAAAATTACCCCTTTTAAAGTTAAAAGTGGTTGTGTGAGTCTTTTTGGCCAATTCCCTATTTGTACAAATGTTGAACTCAACAACATTATGATCACTGTTTCCAAGCGGTGCAATCACTTTTACATCTCTCACCAGGTCTTGAGTGTTACTTAGGACCAAATCAAGGATCGCCTCTCCCCTGGTAGGTTCCATGACCATCTGCTCCATAGCACAGTCATTTAGAGTGTCTAGAAACTCAATCTCTTTCTCTCGACTAGAACACATATTGACCCAATCAATGTGTGGGTAGTTAAAATCACCTATTACGACACAGTGTTTTTGTCTAGCTGCTATCTTTAATTCATTCATCATTTTATAATCCTCCTCTATCTTTTGATCTGGTGGGCGATAACAAACTCCCAGTGTTAAGTTTCCTTTTGGCCCCCCTATTTCAACCCATAGAACTTCCAGAAGCGAATCCAATTCACTTAGCCTCTCAATCTTTCTAGACTTTATACCCTCTCTGACATACAGAGCTACCCCACCTCCAACCCTTCCCCCCCTATCCTTCCGATATAATATATAACCGGGAATCACCGTATCCCACTGATTTTCCTCATCCCACCAAGTTTCTGAAATACCCACAATGTCTATTTTTCCCTCTGACACCAAGCACTCCAACTCCCCGATTTTACCTCGGACACTTCGAGCATTTGTATAGAAACAGCTGTAATTTCCCATACTGGTTAAGCCTGCCACCTTCCTCTTGCAATCTCGAGACCTTGTCAGGCAGTCCATGTCACTAGCCATGGTCTCAGTGGACAATTTCAATCCACCTCCCTGTAGAAAAGCAACAGGTACCCCCTCATCTCTCTGAGATGAGCCAACCCGAACCAGCGACTTTTCATCTCCTGTCGGCTTTCCCCCAATATTCAGTTTAAAAACTGCTCTGCCACCTTTTTG